TTCCGTTTTTATAACTGGAATTTTAACATTTCACCCTATTGAAGCAGATGTGAGTCAGCCTGAACTGTTGCCAAACCTGTTTTTAAAATCCATATTGTTGTTCTATTTGTAGCACACATCTTATGGCAGATGTACTGTATCTATAATCTTGAAGGTACTTTTGTTAAATCTTTTAAAGGAGGTCCAACTAATTACTGTCAACGTGGTAGACATTTATTCTCGTCCAGTGTTTGCTAGGGGAATTCACTTTTAGTGATTGAAAATGGTTGAAATTCTTTGTTTTAAAGGGTCATAATTGTATGAACATTTATCCAATAGTTGTCAAGTTGTGTTTCTGATGACTTGACACAAAAAAGGAACAAGCTTATTCTTACTCTGCAGAGTTTGCACTGCCCTGCTCAGGAAAGGCACAGTTTCATTTAATTGATTAATTTTGTCTGAAGGAAGTTTTTCCTTGAATCACTTTGAAATACACCTTGCCGTATGTTCTCCACTTGCTTGTTTCTCAGATACCTGAAGCGCTAAGATGAGTCGGCGGCGGGCAGAGTCGCAGGGCTCCGTGGGGCCTGATGATGAGGCCATGCCCTACAGCGACGACGAGACGGACGACGAACTGGACGATAGCTCAGAGGGCGAAGCAGAAGAGCCTGATATGCCTCACCCCCCGGTGGACATGAGGCCAAGTGGTACGTTCCTCTCTTGGTATCTTAATTGGGTGTATTTTGCATCAGAAAAATGTAATCATGACTTTGTGCTTTTCAGAAATGGGCTGGAAGGTGAAGGCCAACGACCGGCCCTACCACCAGTTGCCCGAATTTCAGAAAAAAGTCTTCCTTTGCATAAAGAAGAGCAGATACTCGGTAAGCAAAACTGTCCACAAGCATGTCGTGCTGCTCCTGATGTGAGCCGAGCCCTCAGCATACACACCTAAACATGGCCGCCACGCCCTTTACAAATAATGGGGAACGTGTCAGTTCGCCTCATCTGGTCACAAAAGAGTTGATTTTTTTAAATAAGCCTAGTGTTTTTTTTTCTCAATAGTTTGTTGAGAGCAGGTTGTGAAACGAGTAAAAGTAGATGCCGCCTCTGTGAGGTTAATCGAGTCCTCGAGTGGAAAAACGATCTCCACCCTGTGAGGGGCTACCTCCAGTGGAGTGGTTTTCAGCAGCCGGTGAACACACAAGTGTTTTTGTTCGCCATGTTGAGTGTCGTTAGCTTTTGTCGGGGCTGAAACCCAATCGTCCAGTTGAGGCCACCCTTACTGGCTCAGTGAGAGCCAGTGGAATTGAGGACAGAAGGTGCAAAATACAAGTTGAACAGTAGAAAACAGCTGAATAGAAAATATTTTTTTTAAATTTCCACTTTTAAACGAGTATCCTTTTAATGGAATGAATCTGTCTTACTACTCATGACCCACAAACCAGGCTTTGGTTTACACAGTTAACCTCAAAGAACACTTAACTGGAACTAAGAGATGTTGTACACCAACATACGTCTTTATGCTTTGGCCAGCAGCCATTTTGAATAGAGGGATTTGCACATTTAGTGACTTTTAGGGTCAGACTGTCTGCATTCAAGGGAATGCGTGTATCATTGTTTTTCTTGTTCTGTCTCTTCAGGGAAATGCCATTAAGACATACAAGTACAACGTCCTCACCTTCCTCCCACTGAACCTGTACGAGCAGTTTAAGAGAGCAGCCAACCTCTACTTCCTGGCTCTGCTTATCCTGCAGGTACATCTAAAGAAAGTCGCATTTTTTCAGCATAGACAAAAAATTTAAGATACTCAGTAAAATGTGTGTATGCTAGATCATTCCAGATATCTCCACTCTGCCCTGGTACACCACACTGGTTCCTTTGGTCGTGGTGTTGGGGGTCACTGCCATAAAAGACTTGGTGGACGATCTGGTAAGATGTTACAATGTTTAATCCAGCATGGTATTTCTGTCGAGGTTATAAAAAAAAAAAAAAACTGAGTGCAGCTGATCCGTGCTAATTCGATTAGTTTTTATTCAATAATTTTGAGACTGGTCATGACCTTGTTAATGATTTCATTTACATGCTCGGGGTGTTTCCAACATTACTTACAAACTGCACTGGACTACTTGACAGTCATTATATTACTATTTTAGTCAAATGTAGTAGAATCGGACTCGTGTGGATCTGATCACGTTCTTTTTCCTACAGGCACGTCACAGGATGGATAAAGAGATCAACAACAGGAAGTCTGAGGTCCTGTTAGATGGCAGGTCAGGATAGTGTTTTTTTTATTTGTATCTCTTCTCACTTCAAACATACAGTTAGACTCAGGGTAACTCCACTCCCATTAACTGTAATCCAACTATAATCTGGTCAATTTTAATAGTCAAATTCAATATTCATTTGGAGCCAGTTCAAGAATTTTGAGATGAAGACCCAGTGAAGATCAGCTAAAAATGGAGAAGTTACCTTTTCTCCAAATGCTGATTGGTCTCATTAATGAATGGGTGAAAATGCATTTGACTGTTTTTATGCTTCAGGTTTCAGGAGTCAAAATGGATGAATATCCAGGTTGGAGATGTGGTCCGCCTCAAGAAAAACGACTTTATTCCGGTATGGTAGCTTATTTGTTAAATCATTTTTTCCCCCCTATGTGTAGTTTGTAGCTAAGTGTGATGGGCACAAATTGTCCAAAAAAGTAGAAATGTAGCAGAGGGCCACTTAATACTCACATCTCAGTTTCCTCTTAACCAGTGTAAAAGAGGTTGTAGTGGGAAAAAAGTTTTTCTTTATCTGCTGAAAGCTGAGTGAAGGATTAACAGACGTAGTGGAGACCAAGTGTTGAAAGTCTGCTTAATTTGCATCATAAAATGTTTGTAAAGCAAAGTAACCAAATCTTAATGTTATGAATATGGCTTCCTGTTCTTTTTGATGTCGAGATGTATTTATGCAGCATATTTACCACGAAAAGGATCATAGGACTCAGTCCTCAGAATCAGCATCAGTGTCCTTAGAGACCTTAAGTTCTGTAAAAGTGCTATTTCAGCTTCTACCCTGAATCGTATTAACTTTTCTTTTTTTTAAATTTGTTTTATTCTCTTCAGGCTGACATCTTGTTGTTATCCAGCTCCAACCCGAACAGTCTGTGTTATGTGGAGACAGCGGAACTCGATGGGTAAGAGCCCTGGACTAGACATTTTTAGGAGGGAATAGGTAATTCTGGTCATTCTGCATTAGCCTGATTTTAAACGTAAAAGCTTCAAAGTTTCAGTTTGTGTCAGTCTTTTATCTGACAAGTGAACAAATCCATTCATCCATCTGTTATCCACACTGCTTATTCCTCGTGAGGGCTTGGGGGGAGGGGGCTGGAGCCAATCCCAGCTGGCTTTGGGCGAGAGGCAAGGGACAGACAAACCTCCAAAAAACATTCAGTCCATGGGACAATTTAGAGTGTTCAATTAACCGAACACGCATGTTTTTGGATGTTGAGGGGAAGCCAGAGTGCTGGGAAAGTCAACAAGTCAATTAGTGATAATAAGAGAGTAAATATGTGAAGAAGCCAGAGACCACAAACATAGTGATTAAGTTGGAAAGCATACTTTTAATCAAATCTTTCCACAGGTGTGTCTAATGGGTCTGTGGGGGTGTAAATTGTGTTATGAATGCATCAAGCAATCCATTGCTTTAATCAAATCCTTTATGCAATCAGGAGTATTATTATTGGATCAACCTGAATAAGCAGAGTGGTGTTTCCTTTAGCTCTGATTAGTGTGTTCTGGGTAGTCGGAGTTCAGTGTATTGTGTTTTTCTTGTTGCAGAGAGACCAACCTGAAGTTTAAGATGGGGCTCCGAGCAACTGACGAGAGACTGCAAACAGAGAGACAGCTGGCAGAGTTTGGGGGTTAGCATGGCCCACAGTGGCCCACTTCACAGCACGGCCACCAATCACACGTGTTTGTGTACACACACCTGTCAGAAAAAAATGTTTTCAGTGTTGGATTGAAAACATAGAATGTAGATAGATATTGCTCAGAACAATTATCATTGTTACTTGCTGATAAATGGTGATCAATATCAAAATCTGGGCTCAGAGTGGAAAAAATTATCGAAATGAAAATGAATTCCTGTGTTTTTCGTTCGATTATTTTTAGCCTTAATCGAATGCGAGGAACCAAACAACCGTCTGGACAAGTTCATGGGGACCATGCTGTGGGATAGCGAGCGCTACCCGCTGGAGCTGGACAACATGTTGCTCAGAGGCTGCAAGATCAGAAACACGGAGTGGTGCCACGGGCTGGTCATCTACGCAGGTCTGTGCACCCTAATCACGATGCCCATCTTTCCCTAACTTGATCTCCAAGTTAGGGAAAAGAACAGCCTGAGTCATCAGATTAACTCATCGCATCGTCTTTGAATGTTTATAGATATTTATTGAAAGTGGGATATAGTGGTAAGAGGCAGTGTTTCATATGGATCAGCTTGTTTTAGCCACAGCACCGAAATTTCCTCTTTTTCAGATACATTTTCTAATCCGTATTTTCTAACTTTTCATAAACTCTGTAATATATTTTAAGTTACCTGGTAAAACAAGAGGATGATGACAATTTAGATCAACTAGAGGTGGTTATTAATGGCCAACGTTTGTTGCTTCAGGGGCTGACACCAAAATCATGAGGAACGGTGGCAAGACCAGGTTCAAGAGGACCAAAATAGATGAGCTGATGAACTACATGGTTTATACGGTAAGTCGCAGTTATTGATACCTGTATTCGCCATGTCACTAAACGGCTGCTTAGGTGAAGAAATCTGCCTCCTTTAAGTGCCATGAAGGCCCTCGGCCGTGTCGGTGCTCAGGGAGAGCATGCAGAATGATTTAGCTCGTTGTAATGGTGTCTGGATGTTTTTACTCTCGGCTTTTAACCGGCCCGCTCTCCTCCATCTCCGTAGATCTTTGCTCTGCTCATCCTCGTGGCGGCCGGTCTGGCCATCGGTCACAGCTTCTGGTACGCGGAAATTGGCTCCAAGGCGTGGTATCTTTTCGACAACAAAAACCACAACTCCGACTACAGAGGCTTCCTCAGCTTCTGGGGATACATTATCGTCCTCAACACCATGGTGCCCATTTCGCTCTACGTCAGGTCAGTGGAACTGCCCCGGGAGACCAGAGACCTCATATATGACTTAAGTTAAACACGCTCATTGAATGCTGATATGTAAGAAACGGCTGTGAC